CTGATTGGCTGGTTTTTTAGCTTGAAAGAATCTGATTGGTCGAAAGCTCTAGGTCGAAAACCACTGATTGGCTGTTTTTTAGCTTGAAAAAATCTGATTGGTCGAACGAGCGAGTCCGAATACCTGTGATTAGGTGATTTCTCAGGGTGAAAGTAAGATTTTGGGATCTCATGTTTTTTTGACCTTTGACCCTGGCACAGACAGAGCCACAAACGCATTTTAGTTTTTTTCGTATGACCCTCCCTTCAGTCGAGGGAACATCAATCCAAATGAATTATTGTTTCTTATTCGCTGAGTCGCATAGTAGGCTTACCATTTCATTCAGATATTTTTGACGTTTCACGCAAAAACATCAAAATTCATGAATGAAAAATGATATTATTGATACTTCTGATTAGAAGTAAATACAAGAAAATATCTCTTGTCCCATCGCAACACCTTATTTCATTCCGATGAATGGCAAAATTAGACATAAACCATAGTTTTTGTCCTGCGTCAAATTTTGATACGAATTCGTTTTTAGAAATCTCAATCTCCTTGTTGATTACAGGGTTACCTGAAAAAATAAACATAGACTAAACGTTGAGAAGATTTTAGACTATTGCATATTTTCTAAACTGATGCATACATTTGTAAGATTGTCCTTTGAAAGGTAGCTAAAATCGATGTACATAGAAATCGATAATGATATTACAAGATTACTTCTTTCTTTAAAATTTTCATTAAATACTAGATTCACCTGATCAACAACACAATGTGAAACCTTTTCGATCACTTTAGACGAAATAAATGATAGTAAACATTGAGAAAACAAATGAAATTAATAGATTTTTCATCATATGTTGTATCTCATTTTCCGATAATTTCTTCTAGATTAATTTTCTATTGCTAAAAACATTAAAAAAATATTGTAAGAAGTGATTTGTATTAAATATTCTTGACCACAAACCATTAGGAACTGATACTAAATTGAAAAATATCTATTCCTTGAAAAATAAGATCAATTTTAGTCAGTTTCATAACGGACATCTATGTCAAACTTGGAAGTTGAATTCAATGTTCACGTTTCACGCTTCAACTTTCAACTTTCAAGTTACAAATCCACAAGTTCTCAAACCAAGAAGATACACACCGACTCTTTCACAACTCATCGCTGTAGGTGTGGATATCGTGGAGGAGCTTTCTGAAGGAAGAAGTTAGCTACGCCTTTCAGGACACTTCATCGAAGCAGGTGAGGGTTCGACAAAGGCCCATCCAGGAATAATGGACTAAGCTGCGCTTTCTGACATGTCTCATGGAATCTCTTGAAGTTTGAAAACTCAATTGAATTAAAGTACCAAGTTTGACACTAGTGATTAAGCGGGCCACTTGTTAAGGAATGAAATGGAGCTCCGGTCGACATGTAGCTTCTTATTTTCTTAATAGTCAGCTGACATGATAAGAGTCTATCACTGTTTAGACTATGCGCTTAACCGTAGTTCTGGCTGTATATGGTTGACTTAAAATTCGTTATTGTCTATTCCCTGTAATATAGCACTATGTAGAATTCTATATGAAATGTTTTTCGTAAACTGTCAACGTTGTTTTTTATTTGACTAACATATCAAAGAAAGGCTCATTCTATTCGTTTATCAAATGGCATAAATGAGCATGATAAAGTATCCATCCTTCGCTTGTTTTTTGAGATCGGATTGCAGTCTTACGTACTATTAGATGAGTACGCATGATAAAATCGTATTTTGCGGTTCTGTGAAAATGTAGGTCAGTTTCCACTCGAACAAGATGTGATAGCTCTTTTAAAGTTCTATAAAAGGATAATATTACATTGAACTTTATTTGCGTGTAAGACGATGGATTCAAATGTCTAATGTTCCTATGTGCTAAAAATTGCGTTTTCTGACACTTTTTTTATCTATTATTATTTGAATTGTTTGGCTTTCAATTTAAAACATAATACCTTTGAACTTAAAATTAAAAACTAAGTCAATCTATGTGGATCAAAAATTGTTTTATTGATTTGTATTTTTTTCCGAAAAATGCCGTCCAAGTCCAACTCAGAGATATTAAGAAAAATGAACTCATTGAAAATCTCGTTCTCAGGATTTATCCCCCTGTCATTTTAAGTTTCTGTAGTAGTTAAACAATGTTCGACTCTGTTTTTATACTTAAAGTCATACTTTTGCTATATTTATTTATTTTTTGGTATATTCCTAAGGGGAAACAAGGGGCGGTAGTTTTCCAAAAAAAATAAAAGTGGGTGTAACAATTTCTAATACATATAGATCGACTCAGTTTTTAATGTTGAGTTCACATAAATGTTTTTCGACTTGAGAATCGAACAATTCAAGGAACAATGGGTGAAAAATGAGCCAAAAAATGCAAATTTTAGTACTCTGGAACATTGTGAATTTGAGTTACTTGTCTTGCCCATAAATTAAGTTCACCGTAATAGTATCATTGTGCAGAGCTCTAAAAGAGCTGTCGAATCGTATCTGTTTAAAATCAGACCTGTGTTCTCGCATTAACATAGAATCGAGTTTTGCTATGAGTACTCTTCTAATTGTATATATGAATGTGCAGTGGAATTGCAAGGAACCAATGAAGGAACGATATTTTGGCATACTCATTCATATCATTGGATAGGAGAAAGAATGAACTTTCATTTGATGTAGAAGTTAAAATAAAAAGATGCTGACAGCTTCAGAAGAATATTTCATATGAATACTGTATAGTGCCACATGATAGAACATGGACAATAGCATATTCTAAGACAGTCGTATGCAGCCAGAATTAGGAGTAACTGTCTAATTCGAACAATAATGAACTCGTAAGATTTCCATTGACTATATGGAGAATAAGAAACTTGATTTCGACATGGGGTCGATTTCATCGCTTAACGATCGCTTTGCTTTTCTGAAATTATTTCCTTTTACTTGTTTTTCTTTATGTACATAGAACAAATAAATGAGACGATTTTTCAGATCTCATTTAACACAAAAGTTTCGGTTGTACTTCAAAACTTCAGATCAACACTTTGATCAACTCTTTTATACCTGTGAACTGAGATTGAGTATGCCCGTTCCAAATGGATAGAATACAAAGCGAAGAATATCTCCAGCTTGTTCCATGGTTAACCGACGCACATTGTCTATAAGTCGATCCATAAGTACTTGAGCCAAATTTGTATCGCCATCTTTTTCATTCAATAATCGTGCTAATTCAACTTTCAATTTTTTGGACGTATCTTCGACAGAAAATGTTGGTTTTGACGCTGGTTGCGCCATGTTTTTTCGTTTTTCTAAACTCCACTACAATACCTAGGTTTAAAATGAGTAAATCTAAAACAAACAAAAGGAAACATACAGATTGAATATGAGCTGTCTATTTCGAGTTATAATATAATTGAAGCGTCAACTGTCTAATATCACCGCGAAAATAAATGAAAAAAATCAAGCCGACACTTGCTTATAGCAGAAAAAAAAAATTTATAAATTATAATTTATTATTTCGATAAGAATTTTAATTTAATAATTAATATGTGCAGCCTCGCAATGAAGTCTTGAACAAATCATATATCACGTTGAATATGGATTGGTAGACGCGCCTTTACCAGGTCACTGATCTGTAATATCGGGCCCATAGCGCGAGGATGCTATGTGCTCGCCGAAGGGCTAGGAGTGGTGCTCATTTCTATGACCGCAATAATGCCGATATTTCTCTGGTTTTTATTGAGCTAAAAGGAAAGGTTATGGAATTGAATATGTGGATTGTTGTTGTTCAGTAAGTGAATATGTATAAATGAACATGTGATAATTTTCAAACAATTAAAGGAACGGTCATCACTAGCAGTTATTTTTAAAAGAATTAGTGTCAATGAACACCTAAGTGTTATCTGTTTCGATGTGTGCAGCTGAAAAGCACAAGTATTCTGGAATAAGACTCTCGAAGTCTCAGCAGTGTCACATATCTAGGAAATCGGAGAAGCTGGAGAAGTACAGGGAGATGCGGCATCTTCAGATGTAATCTGCTTTTTTCTATTCTTAGGCTTTAAGTCATGCCGGAGATGCTGGGAGATGTCGATACGGGAGATGCATCCCCAGCAGGGGTCCCAGCAAGGGGAAAAGAGCAGATTTCAAGATTTCAAAAGATTCTGAAAGATTCCTAAAGATTCCTAAAGATTTCCAAAGATTCCCAGAGATTTGCAAAGATTCGCAAAGATTCGCAAAGATTTCAAAAGACTCCAATTGAAGGAAATCTGCATGCTTTAATGAATCTCTACTTGAGATACTGTAGGGGAGTACCTTGGATCCTCAAGTCCTTTCTAGGAGGTACCTTTGGGTCCTGAAGTCCTATACTAAGGGGTACCCTCGGGTTCTCAAGTTCTATTATAAGGGGTATCCTTGGGACCTGAAGTTCTACACGAAGAGGATATCCGTGGGTCCTCAAGTCCCATATTAGGGGCACCCTTAGATCGCGAAGTCCTACTATAGGGAGGTACGCTTGTGTCCTCAAATCCCATACTAAGGGTACCCTCGAAGGGAATCCTGAATTTCACCAATAAGATTTTCGCCAATAGGGCTCTCGCCAATGGTAAAAGTCCACTGTACTTTTGCCAGTATACCCTTTGAAATTTCACCTATTGACGAAAGTGCAGTAGACTTTTCCCAATGTGACTGTGAACTAAATGTGGATTCGAAAATTCATATCGGCTATATTGATTAGTCTAAGCTATTGTATATATTCTAATAACATTAGCCACAGCTAGAGCCCATCGGGTCCTGCTGGGGCCCGAACCTAGCCGAATCAGGGTCTGAAAGCTTTGTAATCACTGGATTCGGATCTAAAAAAGTCCAAATTGGTTGGGTCCGGGTCCAGAAATTCTTGAACCGAACGGGCTCTAGCTTCAGTTCTTACGTGCACTCCATATTAATATTGTTCCGTGACAGTTGGCGAAAGTCTTATTGGCGTACTTCCAGTTACTCTATTCTGTTACCATTCTGCTCATCAAACAATGGTAAACCTACACTGAATTCAAATGAATAACTGACTCGATCTAATCATTAAATTACAGAGCTTAACTAATTTCTATCATTCTGACAGATTGCATGGGTTTACGGGCGTCAATCCAGACAGTCTACTAAAGGTTATGCCCTTCACTCACTTAGTGTGATTGACGTTTTATACTTGTTTGGCCCTGATTATATCGAACAACTTCTCAAGATTTGAATAAATGAAAGTTGTATAATATTATTCTTTGAAAAAAGTATCAGATTTCGAAGTAGGATTCAGTTTTGGCGTCTTCTATTTACTCACTGATTTAAATTCTTGTTAAGTATATATGCATCGAGACAACAAAAATGACTACGGCGATGTCAAGCCATCAAAGAAGAAATCGATTTCAAACAAGAAATAAAAGAAAAATAAGGTTATCTTTGTCTCGTTCTCCTCCTTTCTCTTTGACGAGTTTCTCCAGAGAAAAAAAAATTTGATTCTGCTGAAATATATGTCTAATACGACAGAACACGAAAAAGAATGTGTTGGTGGGATTTTATCCAGGCACGTACAGAACTATTATCTTTACATACATTTATTTCGAAATTTGTACAAGGTTTATTACTATGGGTAAAATGAATATTTTTTTTCTGGGAGAAAATGTTTGATCGTACTCTTTGCGCAAGCGTTTCATCTTTCATTATGTTCATAAATTGTTAGGAAACTGACTGTTGAGAAGTGCGATATCAACAGGATGCGAAAAGCAATTATTCAAGAATAGTGAAATAGCTAAGAAGTGAATAGACTCTAACATCAGTGTTGTGAGAAGAAAACGAAGATGAATTTTGAAATTTAAGTTAATGAGAATTTATGTACCGTTTCTTATATAAATTGTGTCTAGCAGTATGAAAAGGTTCTGCTCTCTGGTTGTGCGCTACAGTTGCCGAAACAAATGTTTGCTTATGACTACGCAAAGTTACGAGTTTTACACATACTCGAATTCTTTTGATAAATTATTAATTATTTATGGTTTTCTAGTAAACTTCGCTAGGTAGTCGAAAAAAAAAGCTTTCAACATGCCCTGCAACTCGAGAGTATTGTACTTAGATGTTATCGGCATCAAAGTCAGCAAATCATTTTTTTTTCTTTGACATATGCAACATTGGCACACAAGCGAAAAGTTTGCTTTTTTTTATGATAATATTAAAACCCATAAAACGGAGGAGAAAAAAGAATCGAAACTAATTTGATGTTGGACGTCGATATTTTTTTTATTGGCAGAGTATTTGTACTAGTAAAATATGATTTTGTCGTTCTTTGCCACATTTTCTTTCTGTTTTTTTTATCTCAGAAGTTTATTATTCTAATGCTCTTTGCATGTTTTTCGAGCAATGTGAAGGCAACTACATGCTGACGCATGCATACAACTAGAAATGTTTCCTTCGAAAATATGAAAATAACTGCGGAGCAAGTATGTTTAAAACATCGAATCTGGTTCATATTACATTGTTGTCAGTCTTTTAAATACAATTTATCGCGTTAATGACTCACTCTAGCAGATGCGCTAGTTCCCTCAACTGAAGGGAGGTCCATACGAAATAAAATGCGTTTGTATGTATGTGTCAAGGTCAAAAGAACATGGACCTAAGGGAATCCCTTTCCAGGGTTTCTCTAGAACCGCTCGCCAGAAAAATCTGAAACTTTCACAGTTGATAGATCTCGATGTGTAGAGTAAAAGTTGTCATAGATTCAAAATTCGCAAATACTTCTTTTTAGGAGATATTGGGGCCACAATGGCTAAAAATCGACCCCCAAATCGCTCCTGTTTCTCAGGCACAGTAAATCCGATTGGGTTGAAACTTTTTTACAGATAGCAAAGACACTAGGGGAGGAGTCCTTTTTTTTTGGTTTCTTTCTATCTCATACTGTTCGAATAAAAAAGCTAAAATACGAAGAGCACCCTAAAAAACGCGTGTTTTTTTTAATAGTGCTTGTCTTGTAAGACCTGTCAAAACTCAGCGGTACAATATTTTTCAAAACAAAAAAAAGTAGCCCCCTAAAGTGTCTCTACTATCTGTAAAAAAAATTCAGCTCGATCGGATTTACTGTGCCTGAGAAACGGGGGCGATTTTGTAGATTTTTGCTGAGAAACCGGATTTCTAGAAAACCGCGAAAGAAAGAAAAAATCGTGCTATATCCCTACGGGAATCGATTTACCTTTTCGAGTTTACTTTTGTTTTAGCGCTATATTTGAGTTCTCAAAACGTCACCAGTAGATAGAGAGCACCTGAAAACACATGTAGAGCAGAAAAAACAAAAAATGAAAAATTTGGAAATTTTGGGTCCGGAAAGGAAGGTCCCCTTAAAGCTCAACCAATGGACATATGTTTTCGATATTGAATTCTCGTCCAATCAGATTCTTTCAGGCTGGAATTCCAGCCAACCAGGGATTTTCGATATCGGGCACTCAACCAATCACATTTTTTCAGGCTGGGAGTTCAGCCAATCAGGAGTTTTCGACATTGGGCTTTCACCCCATTAGATTCTTTCAGGCTGGGAGTTCAGCCAACCAGAGGTTTTCTATACCGAGCTTTCCACCCATCAGATTTTTTCAAGCTGGAATTCCAGTCAATCAGAAGCTTTCGATATCGAGCTTTCGACCAGTCAGTTTCTTTCAGGCTGGAAGTTTAGCCAATCGGAGGTTTTCGATACCGGGCTTTCAACCAATCAGATTTGTTCATGCTGGAATTTCAGCCAATCAGGGGTTTTCAATACCAGGCTTTCGACCAATCAGATGCTTTGAGACTGGGAGTTCAGCCAATCAGAGGCTTTCGATACCGAACTTTTCACCCATCAGACTTTTCTCAGGCTGGAATTCCAGCCAGTCAGATATTTTCGCTGACCAGCTCTTGTTCAATAAGGTTTTCTGGGGCAATAAGTTCAGCCAATCAAATATTTTCACTCTGTAGCTCTTGTCCAATGAGATTTTTATCTAGCTGAGAGTTCAGTCAGTGAAATGTTTTCGCTATTACGCTTTTGTTCAATCAGGTTTTTTCGGTTGGAAAATTCAATCAATCAGATGTGGTTGTTGTGCGGCTGTCCTACAATCAAATATTTCAAGACTAAGAGTTCCACAATGAAATACACAGTGTTTCTTGCAATAGTCCAAAAGTTTCTCTTTTTCTTTTTTCAACTGGATCAATGCCTTGTATAATATCGAGTTTTCAAAAAGGTCGGGAAATTAAAGCTGTAAGGAATAGATCACAAGGAAATATGGTCTTTGGAATTTCCC